CAAGACCAAAGGTGTCCAGGACGCGGAGTGGCGGAGATACCGTGCCCAATCCACATAAACACGTCTCAGCACGTGCTGCACCAGGCGGACTTCTGCTGTATCAGCCTGACTTTCAGACTGGCTCCACTGTCCACGTTTAATGTAAACATTCAGGGTTCCGAACGGAAAAAATGAACCATTATATAAACAACAAATTTAAATTTGGTGAGTAAACATGTGTCCTATGTCGTAGGGCCCAAGCCCAACCAGCCTGGCATCGGCAGTGTGGGTTCGGACCCAGCCTTGCCTTTCCTCTAAGCCCTGCCACATATGGCCCGTTTGGGGGCTTGTCCTGGGGCTGGTGTCCTCCGCCCCCAGACTGATCAGCTTTTTCTTCTCCAAAATGCAGAGACTGGCCGGGGGGGGGGGGGGGGGCCCGCGCCCCCCTCGCTTTTCTCTGCCCTTCCTGTGACTCCCTTGATGACACCCCTCCCCCCTCTGGTCACCTCCCCCTCACAGCATCCTCTGCTTCCCCTCCTCTGACAGTGCATGTGATGCAGAAGGGTCACCTGGTGAGCAGTGAGCTCCCTGGTCCCAGGGGATCTGGTGGAGAGGACTCTCATAGAAATCACCACGAATGCTCTAACCCAGCAGGTTCCCACGGGAGGGTACCTCGGAATCACCTGGGGGGCTTGTCGGATTACAGACCCTCGACTTACACAGGTGGTCTGAGGAGGGGCCTGACCACCTGCATTTCTAACAAGGTCCCATCAATGCTGCTGCTGACCTGGGGACCACACTTTGAGAACCACCGCTCTCGCCCACTGATCCTCAATCCTGTCGGACGGTAAGACTCAGGCAGCTGGGGAACTTATGAAAATGCAGATTCCAGGGCCCCAACCCCAGAAGAGTCCAACGCAGCAGGTCAGCAAAGGACTGAGACTGGCTAAGACACTGCTGGCCAGACAGAACCCTGGTTTTCACCCACCTTCTCACCTATGCCCCCCTGGAAAAAGGTCAAGGTCCCTTTGTCTCCGTAGGTTTTCAGAGCCAGAGGTGAGCTCCACAGTGAAAACAACCCGCGCTTCTCAGGAGAGGCCCCGTCCTTCCAAACTGCCACTGTGCCGCAGAGAAGAGGGGACAGTCAGGGGAGCAGAATGATCTCCTGGCAGACAAGACCCAGGGCTAGACCGAGAGGCCCTGAGGTGTCTTCGGAAAAGGCACAGGCAGGAGGGAGTCCCGGCCACCACTCAGAGTAAGGAACGACATTTGTCTCACCTCCTTCTAAGCCCTCCCAACCGGCAGGGCTACTTTCCAAAAAGCAAGCTGGGCAGCGGTTCTTTTGGGGAATGTTCTCGAACACCCCTTTACAATACTAACCAATTACGTTTGTACTATGATGTTAGGTGGGAGGGAAAAAGGCCGGATGTGCAATTGTATGTATGGCACAACCACAATGGCAAAAAACAAAAACTATTCACTTGAGAGCTGAAAGGAAACACTAACAATGTTAATGGTGATTGTCTCTGCGTGGGGGGCTTTACCGGTTCTTTCTTCTTGCTACTTGTTTTCCAAGCTGTTTACAAAGAGCACGTACAGTCTTACTTATATGTTGAGAACTTTATTTTCCTTAAATCAGAAGGAAAAAATACGCAGAACACTGTCCACACGGAATGTGCCAGCCCTGAATGCAAACATCTTGCCAGATTTCTCCAGGCAGGACGGACTGAGAGGCGGTGACCACGCCGTGGCTGGCAGCCAAGTGCTGTCAATAAATGTTTACTGACCATTTGCGCTGAGAGGGCCGAGGCTGCCAACACACGCCAGCCAGTCCCCAAAGAGCTAAGAACGCAGGAGGAGGAGAACAGTGTGCTGGGTCCTCTCGCCCATCCGTGAGGCCTCTGGGGTCCTCAGTATGAATTAGCCACCTTTTACTTTGTGTGACCATTTCTTTCTTTCTTTTTTATAATTAGAGATGGGGTCTCGCTCTTGCTCAGATGGTCTTGAACTCCTGGCTCCAAGCAATCCTCCCACCTCAGCCTCCCAAAGTGCTAGGATTACAGGTGTGAGCCACCGCGCCCTGTCTCATGTGACCATTTCTCTTCTTCTGGAACTCTACAGGGTACCCCATCTGCAAACTGCCTTGAGACATAGTCTCAAAGGGGTGTGAAGCCCCTTCGGCCTGGCCCAGACCTGGACCCTCAGAGCCACTGTTCACCAACCCTACTAGGCCGCAAGACAGCTTGCAGCGAGAGCCTGACCACTCCATGCTGCTCACGGAGAGCTGAAAAAAGTACCTTCTTCTGAGACTTTCATCCCTGCCACTGGAGAGAGGTTACCACCTCCCAGCCACACCTGGGGCAGGAGACACACCTGTCTAGTGTTATGCCACTGGCTCTGGCCAACTCTGCAAGCCTGTTCCAACCCATGACACTCCAAACTGGAAACTCAGTCACCCACCAAAACCTCACTCAGGCATCACCTCCTCCAAGCAGCCTTCCCACTCCCCCCATGCAGACTGTGTTAGCGGGTCTTGCTTCTCAAAACCTCAGCACCATCTGCTTCCCTGGAACTCAGCACAGTCCTGAGAGCACCTGCTTAGCACTAATGGCACCTGCGGATGGGGACCGTGCCCTGAGTACCTGCTGCACAGCCGACACAGCCCCAGACCCTCATCACAGACACCCAGCTCCCCAGCAACACCACCACCTCTGCCCACGTCCCCTGCACGTGGCTGTCACAGAGAGGCACCATCTGAGATGTCCCTGCCTACAGCGTGCCCACCCCAAGTGTGGTTCCCTTAGACAAGGAAACGAACCTGCTGTCCTCCCACAGCCAGCTCCCATAGGGCTCCCAGACACGTCCTCCCAGGCCTCTCCCTGACCCCCAGCCCCCTTCTCAGACATCCGTAACTAAAGGGACAGGCTAGTTCTAAGCCTCCAGAGACAATGCTCTGGGAGCCCACAGCACCACACTCCCATGGTCTGTGGACTGAGCACCGGTGGCTCTCTGAACCGGCCCACGCGGGCAAACCACCCCACACTCCAACAGGAGATGAATGGAAACAACCATCTCAGAAAACCCAGGACACTGTCCACTCCCTCCCTCTCCCACCCTGTTTCAAATCCATGTCGAAACAGAAGCAACCACAGCCCTCATCAGGAACGGGGCACGGCACACAGCCCAACGCCACGGCACAAATTCTGCCCGGCGCGTGGATGTGGAGAGATAGGAACACTCATACACTGCTGGTGGGACTGCAAACTAGTGCAACCTCTGTGGAAAGCAATATGGAGATACCTTAAAGAGATACAAGTAGAAGTACCATTAGATCCAGCAATTCCATTACTGGGCATCTACCCAAAAGACCAAATGATACTGTATAAGAAAGACACCTGCACCCGAATGTTTATATCAGCACAATTCACAATTGCAAAGATGTGGAAACAACCCAAGTGTCCATCAATACATGAGTGGATTAATAAAATGTGGTGTATGTATACCATGGAGTACTATTCGACTTTAAGAAACAATGGTGATATAGCACCTCTTGTACACTCCCGGATAGAGCTGGAATGCATTCTACTAAGTGAAGTATCCCAAGAATGGAAAAACAAGCACCACATATACTCACCATCAAATCGGTATTAACTGATCAACACATAAATATACATATAAGAATAACATCTATTGGATGTCGGGCTGGGGGGGGGAAGGGGGAGGAAGGGACGGGTATTTGCATACACAAAGAGTGCAATGTGCACCATCCGAGGGATGGGCACACTTGAAACTCGGACTTGGCGGGGAGTGGGGAGGCAAGGGCAACATACATAACCTAAACATCTGTACCCCCATAATATGCTGAAATAAAAAAATAAAATAAAATAAACTTGGGGAAAAAAAAAAAATCCTGCCCAGCAGTTCCGCAGCTGAGCCCAGCACCAGCACCAGCACCAGCACGAGGACAGACGGGGAGGCCCGGCTGGCCAGAGGGTTCCTCAGTCAACAGAGACCTTGCAGCGTCTGCAGATATTCCCGAATCTTAAAACCACTACTAAGTCACAGCACAAAATACAGAGTGCAAAAAACAAGGTCTCAGAGGCAGGTCTGGTGATGGGTTTAATGAAACCCTGGCACGAATCTGGAAGGCACTTGTTCTTGAGCGGCAGTTCTCAAATTGTGTCCCCAGAGTCCTGGGAACCCAGACAGATGCCCTCGAGGGAGAGGACGCAGCTTAGCAGAGCACACTCGGGTCCCCAAGTCAGAGTAACTAGAGCTTCACCTGGGGTCTCAAGAAAAATCACATGGGGTGGGAGCGGGGCACTTCACTGCTAAGAAAAGGTTTCAAAACCAGGGCTCTGAGGGGCACAGCTGCCATTTCCCATCAGAAATCACAAATACCATCAAAGATTCGCAACTGTCCTTCCCATAGCTGGCATGGGGTTTTTAAACGGCCTTTCCCCCCCAGGCCCACCTGCCCGACCCATCGGCCACGCAACGATCATTTGCAGCAAGCACGAGAAAGGTGGACACTCCATCCCCTGAGCCAGGTGCACCTGCTTGCAACCTAGAGGCGGGATGATCACGTTCTCGGCCCTTATATATCCCATCTGTGGTCCCCTCTTTCTCTCAACCCTTGAACAGCTCCTGCACAAACAGCCACTGAGCCGGGGCTGTGGACGACAACCACACCAGGGTGCCTCTCGCGGAGCCGGTTCCCGCGAGCCCCCATCCAGCCGCGTGCTTGGGGCAGAGGCTGCAAACCGAGGCTCCTCCCTGGGGCTCTCACAGCACAACGCCATGCACAGCTCAAGGAACATCTGCTGAACAGCGTACAGTGATGCGGTATCTCGCCCGCACACAATGCCCCAAGAAAGGGCTCAGGGGAAAGCACGCACGGTATCAGGCAGCAGCTGCCTAGACTTGAACACCATTTCCTCTCAGCTTCCTGTGGGGAAAGTGCTCCAGTGACGACACCGCGGAACACACATCAGAACTCCCGGAGACAGAACTGCCCTTACCTGGTAGTAGGTCTTGATGTTTCTCACCAAGATGGTCAGGTTCTGAATGCGAAGGTTCACGTCGTTGTTGACATGCTTGTTGATGCGCTGATTTGTTGGTCTGGGGTCTCTAGGAGAAGAAACACGAGAATGGAGATCGCGCCTCCCAGCGTTTGTCACACTTCCTCTTCCAGCCTCGACCGGGCAGTGCACCCCATAGTCCCTAGGTGACAAGGCTGTGACAGTGTGGTTCAAGTCAAATCCTAATTCTGCCACTGCCAAGCCGGGACCTTAGGGAAGCGCCATCACCTTTCTGCTCCCCCACCTGAGCGCTGGCCCTTAATCAATGTTGTTTCTGTTCCCACTGTTCACAGCACCCATGAAGGACAACTGCGTGTCAACTATATTAATCATATTGTATTTTATAATGTTTTTATATTACATAACAATCGGGCTCAGAGTGGTGGCTCACACCTGCAATCCTAGCACTCTGGGAAGCTGAGGCAGAAGGGTCACTCGAGGCCAGGGCTTTGAGATCAGCCTGAGCAACATAGCAAGACCCTAAAACAGGAAAATTAGCCAGGCGTGGTAGCACGTGCCTATAGTCCTACGTGGGAGGCTGAGGCGGAAGGATTATTTGAGCCCAGGAGTTTGAGCGCCACTGCACTCTAGCCCGGGCAACAGAGCGAGACCCTGTCTCAAAAAAACAAAACAAAAACAAACAAAAAAACAACCTAACCAAAAATATATTTCAAGATTAAAAAGGATTAAAAGCTGAACAAAGCAACTGGTCTTGGGCTGGTCCTGTGATTTACATTCCTAGGACATAATTCTACCTTGAAAAACTGACATTATCAGCCTATGACACTACACGGTATACAGCACGCCCTGAGAAATGCTAAGAGACACAAATAATTCATGTGGAGAACCCCCAAAGTGTCATTTATTTTCCAACCTCAGGCCAAAGCCAGGTCTGGTAGTGATAAAACTAGAAATCTATATCGAGTGATTTACAATTCACTCATCTACATACAGGACATTTCTTAAAATTCTCAGAGTCGGAAAATGTTTCCTATTAGGAGAGCACGCTCCGCTCCGCAGATCTGCGCTGGCCTCCCCCATCCCACAGACTGCTCGCTGCTTTTCATAACAAAGGCCTCCTTCCATCTGCCTGTCCCAAGACACCGCAAAGGATGTCTAATTCAAAGGAGGGCCTGTCTTCATCTGTCATCCAAGCCCTGCGAAAAAGGTGTTGAGCCTCCTGGGAGCTGGTGTGGGGAATTAAGAGGAAATCAATCTCAATGCCACTCAGTTCATTCAAAGCCACTAATTAATAGAAAATTGACAAATAGAAAAAAAAAATCCTACAAATCAAAATCACTTCAAATGCCTCTGGAAGTATAATTTATTTTGTGATACAAGCTGTTTACAGTTCGACCAGTAAGTAAATATTAGACGTACACACCATGAGCCCTTACATGGTGTCACGTGTCTGCAAACCTGCCCACCCATCACACAATCAGCAGCCCTGCATTTTATTCAGTCATCCTACATCCCCTGAAGTAGTCACATGGGTGTCTTGGGCGCAACCGGAGGACCTCTTTTCAGCTGTCGGATGACAACATTTCTTATCGTCACCATACAATAATGGAGTGTGGCCAAGCCTTTTACATGTTACATGTTTCTCTTAGAGCCATTCATCACTGAGAAAATACAGGTTAACAGTTCTGTGGGAATTAATTTAGGAAAAGAGGAGGCATTCATAATTTAAACTGCAAAGGCATCTTTAGCTATAGAAGTGTTCCTAGCATTAAGAAATAATTTATCTTAAAGGTGCAATTCTCTCCCCTTTACTGTATAGATACCTTAAGAGATGAGAATCAGTTTCATAGTGACAAATGTGCTTCTTAAAATAGCAGAACTTAGAGAACACACAGCGCTTTTTTTCTGGGGTTTTTTTTTTTTGTTATTGTAGTCCCAGCTTTCATTTAAGTCAGATGGACCACCCCAGGAGTGCCAGGAGCTGGAAGCCTCGATCTACATTGTGGACGTCCACAGCACATGCAAAGGCATAGCACACACCTGGGTGTCCCACACATGGCAGCACGAAAGCCTCTGACCATCCCTGCTACTGTTATTCCCAGTTTGGGGAAAAAAAAGCTAACTGAAACAATTCTCTAAAAGAACCGTGACATTTATTTACTGTATGGGTAATTAGACTAAATATTGTGATCTTTAGCACTCTTGCCTTTACCTAAGGGTCTCTGGGTAAACAGAGGACATAAATCAAAAGTCTCAACTATGGTTAAGGAAGGCGTATCTCAATCTCCACTCCGCTCAGCACCCCCAAAACTCCCACCTCCCAATGCTGCAGGAAACAGGAGTCAGGAGGCACAGATTCCAGTTCAGGTCCCAGGACTGGCCAAAGTTCTCTGGGCCTCAGTGTGCACATCTGCAAAATGGCTACAGGACCCTTCCAGCCCTCAAGGCTATCATGCTATGAAGCCCGGAACTGCATTAGCAAACTTGGACTGTACGTGGCCGTGTATCCCAAGAAGACATTATTATAACCACCATACAACTGCATGTCCCTGAAAGCCGTCATTTAAAACAATAATCTTCTTTACCCGATAGCCCTAAAACCAACAAGCTCCACAGTCTTGCATCAGGAAGTCAGAGGACAGGAGAGACACGGACAGGCCTGGTGGCTGGTCTGAATTTGGAGGGTTCCGAGTCCAAAGTGTGGGACTCTCAGGGTTTCCTTTTCATAAAAGCATCTAACTAGAAAAAAGGAAATCAACTCTCACTAGAATTTTAAAGAGAGTTATAATCTAGGTTTATTGCAATCTTGCCCCCTCCCCTTCGGGAAAGCCAGTCCCCAACTTTTGGTCATATTCCAAAAACTTCCTCAATTTAAAGCTGAATCAAGAAACCACGTACTGACACAGAGAAATGTCCGTAATATAACACAGGTTGAGAAAAGATGTTAAAAACAGCATCCGTATTTGTATAAAAATACATTAAAGACATATATTAATGCATACAATCAATAACATCTGGAAGGCACCATAATATTAACATTGCTATCTCAACGTGGTAAAATGACAGGCAACTGTTATTTTATTTATCTACATGCTCCTCTTCTACAATGAATGTATGCTTTTTGCATAATTTTTAAGAACTCGAAGCCCCCATGAAGACTGCTGCAGCCGAAAGAGGAAGTTACTTAGTTCACAAGTAAAAATCTTTTTTCCAACATTCTTGTACCAACACAAACTCATTCAGCTAAGTATTTGCACTTTTATCCTCAGCCTCTACATCTGCAAGATGGGAACATAAACGCCTCTTGAAGCACACTAGGGGAAATATTATCCTTCAAATGCTTTTCGGAAGCTGAACAAACTCTCCCACTGGCCTGAGAACATTTCTAACCCCTGAATAATTAGCATATTCTCCTGAATTTTGCAGCTAGCACCAGGGGTCAGAAAGCAGCCTGAACAAAGCAAACAGTGTTGAACTTACTGCAGGCCCAGCAAGGGCACAAGCTCTCAGCCCTGGCCCCACGTCCCCAACTGCACTCGTCAGCCACGGCATCAAAGCTGCTCTCACCAGCACAGATGTGCACAGGCACACGCACGCACAGCTGCACAAACCCAGCTCGGGCCTCACTCACACAACAGTGATTGACATTTCTTGGTCACTGTCTACACATATCTTATTTAATCCTCCTAAAAGTCTGGAAGATACCACCCCACTTACCACAGATCAGGAAACCAAGGCTCAGAGAGTTTAAATAATTTGCCCAACATAACAGAACTAGAGAGTGGCAGAGTGGGGATTTAAACGTGTCTGCCTGATGCTAGGGTCAAGGCTCTTAAATAATTTCCCAAAAAGAGTGAAAAAGGCATCCGAAGTTAATCAGAGAAAACCCTGTTCTCCCTCGGGCACGGGCAGGAACTGCGCGTCCAGAGGAGCTGTGGGCAGGCGTCCCCGCGGCCCCGGCCAGGCCACTCGATGCCTCACTTCCATTCACGAAGTCTCCCAGCCCTGGGCCTCCCTTGAAAGCTGAGCCCGTGGGGCTTTCCAGCTTCCAGGTGCTGATGTCACCGGGAGGACAGGGCCAAGAGATTACTACCACAGCCTTCTACGGTTGCCAGAGACAATGGCCAGGTCTAGCCACGTGACCCCAGCCAGCCTCCATATGGCTCTGAAGTGTTAGGTGACACACCTCTTATCTGAGCTCCAGCAGCCCGGTTGGGTTAGCGAGGCTGCGCCCCACAAGTTCCCCAGGTCCTGCAAACTTGGAGAGAATTTATCGAACAGGCAAACAGCACGGGTCTGGGAGCTACCAGCACGGGCGATTAGGAGGAATAGCCTTATCACTTATCTGGTGAGCCTGATGTTTCACCATTTGGCACAAGTGGAGACAGAAGCGGGAATGAAGCGTAGTCTAGAGGGAGGGCTAGACCTGGGCATCAGAGTCCGGTTTTGCCGCAGACCTCGTTGGGAGAGGGCTAAGGCTGAGAATTCCGTGGTGATATAAAGGACTAAGAATGTTGGGGAAAAGGTTGGCTGGGGGAAAAAAAACTCTTCTAGGGTGCCTCAAACCCTTTCTGGATTAAGACGGTACCTATATAAGTGAATAACTGACCCAATTACCCACTAAGCAGCAAGCACTGAGCTAAATGTTAACACGACATTTCACTCAATCCTCACAACCATCTCTTAAGGGAGGCACTTTATGTCCCATTTTACAGATGAGGAAACTGAGGCACTTAGTGACACACCCGGTATCACACTGCTGGGATGAGGGAGACCTAAGGTTCAAACCCAGGCTGGCTGTAAAGGCTGTCCAACCACAGGGCCAGGGTTCTTTTACTTATTTTTTAATTGAGATAATTTTACATGGAGTAAAAGTTACAGCTTGAGGAGTTTTAGAAAAAGAAACTTACTCCAGTCGATACATAGAACATTCCGACAACCCCCAAAGGTTCCCCCCAATGCCTCCTTTCCAGTCAATCCCCACTCACTCCCATCACCTGGGTATTCTGATCACCCAAGCTGGTGGCATGCTGCCCAGCCCACTCTGTCCTCATCCTCGAAAGCCACCCATCTGGCTTCCCCAAGGGTCCTGCCTCTGCGCCCCACTGCGTTGGAGGGACCCAGAAGCCCTGCTTGAGGCCTTAGCAGCTGCAGACATACCAGTTCCCACTTCCAGAACGACTGCCCTGGCATATCACAGAGGAGATGGCATTTAAAATTGCCTAGGGAAGGGGACAAGCCCTTCCACTGAATTTAGCCACGGGCCAAATGCGAACCAGTGATGAGCTGGCATTTCTCAAAGGAATGGCCCAACAGGCTCTACTGATTTACAAGCAAGTGGTAACCGCTGCAGGAATTCCAAAGGTCAGGGAAGAAAGAGAAACAGTCCCAGGGCTTTTGTTCTCCCCTCAGCCTGGGTGTAAAAGCTGAATGAAAAGGCTGGGGTTACTGCTGCTTTTTTTAATTAAACAGTCTTGGGCTTGGGTAAGGACAGGTTGAAGTTTCCACTGGTCATTGCACCAATGGAATCCAGCAATTTCTGAGGTCTAACAGAATCGGGGGGGAGAGTTGCCAGAGCTCAAATATGCCACAAGACAGCCCCAGGAAAATTCATTTTCATCCGTGTTCTCTGAGAAGTGCTGCCAAAGCTGACAACAGATTTGTTTTCAGAACCTAATCAAACACTGAAATTGGTAGGACTGGTAGCGTCTTTTATTTTTTTTTAAACATGAAGACTGCAGTGTCTCTCCTACAGCATGGCACCAAATGACTTATTAAAACAAAAGGAGTAACGTTCTCAGGAAATTTTTTAAAAAACAGACCTTTGAGGTAGAATCTATTTAAGCCACTTTCTAGATCTGCCAAAGCAAACTGCTCCTCCTCCTTTGTGGGCCACAAACAAAGCTGAGTCTCATTAGCTAGTGGATTTATGCTCAAGTATGACAACTCACTCAGTCGTCCGTGAGCAGGTGAGCACCAGGGGCTGATCCAGAGAACATTACGATGTTTAATTTTGTTTCAAGGGCCTGTGAATCATACTGACACTCAGTTCCAACATGTTGCCCGCAGTTTCTGAGTTAAAAACAGAATGCAGGGTAGGAGCCAACACCTACCTAGTGGCAAGCTGTCAATCAGACAGCAGACAGGCTCTGCAGAACTCAGCAACAGGAAAGGATGTGGTCAGAGGTACTCGCTAGCAAGCGAACTTCCACCAAGACCCTGTTTAAGCCCCACGCTTCCAAACTAACAGCACCCCAGCATCTGACTCCCTATGCGCCTCCTAACCCAGTGACTTGAAACCCAGTTCACGTAATGGCACTTAACCAACTGCACTTGCTCTGGGGCAACTGCAAAAGGAAGACAAAATGTAGGAGAGTTTAGCAACACAGGCATCCTAACCTAGAACGAAACTTCACAGTCACCCTCGGATGCCAGCGCCCACCCGACACTTCCTGTAACCAGACACTTTCTGTTACGGTTCCGTGCCCCCCAAAAGGGGGCTTTTTGATGTCACTGCTCAAACCACAATGAAGTCCTTGAGTTTGAAGTCAACTGCCCTATCTAAACCATGTGGATGACAATTATTCGATTCCAAATTTCCTTCATCAAACAGACTGCCAAGCCACCGTCTTAGGAGTTCTTCAACGTCCAAAAGGGAGAACCCCTCCCTTGCAGCCTTACACTCCATTTCTACACTATCAAACTTTCTAAAGCATCATCCTTTCCTTTCTGTCTGAAGAAGGTAACTTACATTTGCAACATGATTTGGTTCAAAAAGATGCCGTCCACTAAATCCATGTACATAGTCAAGTTGTCCTGGTTGCTGCTTCCAAACGGGCCAAAAGTTTTCACCTGCGGGGAGGTGGGTGAGGAGAGAAAGCAGGAAGTCACCCCAAGCGCACAAACGGTCTAAGTTCTCCCAAGCAAAGGCGGGCCGGGCCCCCTGTGAGCAGAAGGGGGTCACCCGCGCCCACCGCACCCGTCAGCAAGCAACAAGCCCACCCTTCTCCCAGGGCCCCTCTCCCCTCCCCGCGCCAGGCAACAGACTCGAGACAGGAGGCAAACTTCCTCGCCACTTCTCTCCAGCGTCCCAGAGAGGAAAAAAATAAAAGGGACTTTTCAATAAATTCCTCACGTCTCAAATCCATTGTAAATCAGTAAGCCCACCCTAGTCTGTTCACGTTCCCACTCGGCGCCCCCCATTCCCCACCCGTCACCGCCATCCACTGGCTGGTCTCAGGGATTAGAAACCACACTAGGACGTTTTGGGCGAGTAGGGTCCTTTTCGGGAGTGGTTAAGCCCTGGGGACAGGAGTGACCACTCGCACCCTGTCCGCCCCGGGGCCGCCAAGCCCAGCGCCCCGGTAGTAACAGGTGTACTCCGTTCCGTTCCCGGCCCAGCCGAAAACGCGGCGGGGTCCTGCGCCGGCTGCAGAGTCGGAAAGGCTCCGGACTGCAGGACGCTGCCCCAACCCCGGCCGGGAGCCACTTGCTGCGTCCGCCGCCCCCCGGGGACCCGGCCGGGTCGGGCCCGCGGCGCCCCCAGCCCGGCGGGAGAGGAGCCGGTGCAACAACAAAGGGGCGGGGGAGCAGGGCGCACTCACCCAGGTCACCAGCGGGCTCTGCAGGAAGAGCTCCAGGAGCTCCGAGACGGTCACGTCCATGCTGAGGCTGCGCCCGCCGGCTCCGCGCCCCGCGTCCCGGTCCCCGGCGCCGCGGCACAAAGCGGCTCCGGCAGCAAGCGGCGGGCGCGGGGCTGCGGCGGCTCGCGCCCGGGAGACAAAGGCGGGGCGCCCGAGCCCACGTTCCGCGGCTTCGGCGGCCCCGCGCCCCGCCCGGGGCTGGGGGAAGGGGAGGGCCCGCCGCTCGGGGAGGAACAATGCGGGCGGCCCCGCCCCTTGGCGGCCCTGGGCGACCCGCGCGCCGCCTCGCGGTGCCAGCCCGGGAGCCCGGGAACGCGGGGCGCAGCTGCGCGGCTGCCCGGCCGGGGAGGGAGCGGCGGGCCCGCGGGCCCGGGTCTCCGCACGTGGGGCCGCCGCTGCGCGCCCAAGCCGAGGGCAGCCTGCCCGCGCGTGGGGCCCCAGCACGTGGCGCCTCCGTGCGCGTGTGCGCCTGCGGCGGGGCTCGGGCGCCACGTGCGGGCTGGAGCGCGCCGGCCGGGTACGCGCCGGGCGCTGGGATGTCCTGCCCTCAGAGATCGCCCGCGGGACTGGGGAGCTCAGCCCTGCGACTTGGCGGGCTCCAGGCAGGTGCAGCCCGCCGGCCGCGCGCAGCCGCCGCCTCCCAGGTGCCACCGAGAGGCCCCGCCCGGGCTCGTGGCGGGAGAGCCAAGCCCACGCCCCTTACAGTGTGCCCCGCCGGAGGGTGCCGAGCTCCGCCCGGAGGGCAAAGGAGGAAACTTTCTTCTGAGTTTAGGCCGTAGGAGCGCCACCTTTGCGCCCCACCCTTGCCACCTTCCGGGCTGCCTGCCTTCTAGAAGTTCCTGCAGGAAGCCCGCGATGTGGCCGCACTGGCTTGGGCCTACCCCCAACCACCACCGCTTTGCCCGCCCGAGGGAGCCAAACTTCAGGTTACAGCCGGTGGCAGCAGCCTGGTGGCAGGCGACAGGAAAAAGGGCAAGGACCCCAGCTGGGTGGAAGGCCAGCCCTGGGGCCACACCTCCCTGCCGAGACAGCTGCGGCACCGGACAATGCGGGAGCCGAGGCCGGCCAAGGCCGAGATCCAGGCCGGTCTCTGCCACCTGACCTTGGCCTGGTGATAATTTCAGGCCACGATCCAGTCGCCATTAAAGCACTTTATACGATTTAACTAATCCTAACAGAAATGCATTTCCCGGATGAGCCAACTGGTGCAGGATTGACCTGAAGCGTGGTGCTCGGCAAGTATACAGCAGGCACTAAATGGCTGCCCGTTGGCTCGGTAGTAATTTTGAAAGTCGGCTCTGTCAAGCGTTGGGGCTGCGACATCTGCTGGTGACGGGCGGCATTACAGCGCGGTTCTGGCGGCCCTGGTGGGGCGGCCGCGGCGTGAGACCGTGGCCGGGACGAGGGCGGTCAGGGCCCCTGAGGGAAGGGTGGAAGTCGGTCACACACGAGACAGTTCCCGCGGAGGAAACAAAGTTCCGACGCGACGTGGTGTTTTTTGCACCAGAAATTCATTAGGAGAGTTCCTTAGTTGCAGTTCGAAAATGGGAATGTCACGTATTCAAGTCCATCTTGGCTCTGAAAAGTAAGGGATGCCCGTGTGGCCGGAGCGTTTTTCACACTGACCCAATTTTATTTTGGAAAGACAAGGAGGAGGGATCTTTACAGTTATCCGTTTAATAAGCCTGCTGTCTCACACTGAGAAATACACTGGACAAATGCTTTCTGACAGTTGGGAGACGTTTCCCATCGTGATGAGAGCATTTTCCCCTGGGGATGTTGACAGTCCTGGGCCACAGCGCGTCAGGAATTTCTGTTCGGGGTCAGTCAGCCGCTGTGTCGGTTCGCGATCACTGATGTATCTGCCACCGTTCCTTGTGGGGCCACCGGGATCGAAAGATCCAGCCCAGCTCCCGTGTTCCTTAGCAGACGGGGCATGTGAGCGGGAGAGTGCCCAGGTCACAGGGCGAGAGGGCTTCCAAGGGCTGGGTGGCCGGGACAAGTTACTAACTCCGAGTCTCTTAAGCTGTAAAATCAGAGTAAGAATATTTTCTTGCATATGACTTTACAAGATAATTTTGAAGTTAAAGGTGGGGCATGTAAAAGGGTTGTGGAAACCATAAAGCTTTATAAAGACAGATAATAACTGTCTCTGCCCCATTCTTCTCCACTGCCTTCATAGAAATTGTTTTCCTAAGTCTCCATACGGCTGAGGCATAAACTTGAGGAAGCAAACACACAGACCATCCGCCCTCCGTCCTTCCAGAACACCCCATGGCTTTCACTCCATCTATCTAAGCCTTAACTCTTTATTTTTAAAATTTTTCTTGTTCATCTCTGGATATACATTTATACATTGCGTTTTACATTGCTTTCTGGACAGCAGCAGTATTTTAATTGTGTTCTGCATCCTGATAAAGGAATGCCCCCGCAGCCCACCCCCAGAAAATACTGACTCCGCAGTGTTAGCTAATGGCATTTCCACATTACCTGACAGGAGCCTAAATCGTTCGCACAACGTGGGGCGAGGGTTGGCTACTTTTTAACATGTCTCTGCATTTGATTTTTGTTAAAATGAGCTTACGTTACTTTTGTGATTTAAATTTTTTTTAAAGTCAAACACAGGCCGGGCGCAGTGGCTCACGCCTGTAATCCTAGCACTCTGGGAGGCCGAGGTGGGCGGATTGTTTGAGCTCAGGAGTTCGAGACCAGCCTGAGCAAGAGCGAGACCCCGTCTCTACTAAAAATAGAAAGAAATTAATCGGACAACTAAAAATATATAGAAAAAAAATCAGCCGGGCATGGTGGCACATGCCTGTAGTCCCAGCTACTCGGGAGGCTGAGGCAGGAGGATCGCTTGAGCCCAGGAGTTTGAGGTTGCCGTGAGCTAGGATGATGCCACGGCACTCTAGCCCGGACAACACAGTGAGACTCTGTCTCAAAAAAAAAAAAAAAAAAAAAAGTCAAACACATAAGAAAACTTGATCTTAAAAATATAACTTCAGTGGATATTTGTGTCTGCAGCGTTTGTCACAAATATCTTTTAAATGGTCAGTTCTCAGTTGACTTAATTTTGTCATTTCACTTTGGCATTTAAAGGTTTGATGTAAATACAACTTTAAAAAAAATTTTTTTTTTTAAAGATGGGGTCTCACTTTGTTGCCCAGGCTGGTCTCGAACTCTTGGCCTCAAGTGATCCTCCCACCTTGGCCTCCCAAAGTGCTGGGATTACCGGCATGAGCCACTGCACCTAGCCTAAATACAACTTTTTAAGAATATATTTCTGCATAAATTGGTATAAAATAAATAAATGAAATAAACATATAGCAAAAGATTATATTCCGTGATAGTTTTATATTCTGTCACAGATCTGACATTTTGGAACATTCTTAAAATATTGAAAGAAGTTCATGTTATTGACAAATTCAGTAACGAAATGAAGGATTTGAGGTCCTTTGGGATGCAGTGCTTGAGAGTATGTTCCAACCTACTCCACGGTAGCGTGAGACTGATACTTTGGGTAAAATTTCAACCAACTATTTCAAAGGAATTTTTTTCAGAGACTAGGAAGTAATACAGTAAAACATGGAAATGGTAAAGTGCAGATGTAATGCTGGAAACCAGGATGTTCCAGTAAACGTATTTTCAACCAATTTATTTTTCCTGTAACTTTCTCTTAAGAGAATAGGTTAAGTCACATGAGATTGCTGATATTTGTTAATTTTTGGCCTACAAAAATGGCAATTTCATATGGTTCAATCTAAAGACTAACAATAATTTATAATGAATACTTATTGAGTAATGACTCTAATAGCTAGTATTCTAAGCACGTTCATTACTAATATAATCCTTACAACAACCCTAGGAATAGGTACTGTCATTATTCCTGTTTTACAGCAGTGGAAGCATTTCATAAACATTACTGAGTATCTACTAAGTGCTAAACATTATGATAAGCAATTTGAACAAGATATGAACCTGTTCTCGAGGAGTAAGAAATGATTACAGACAAAGTTAAATCGTTAGCATTTTAAAAGCTATATGCAGACCAATAAAAATAATAAAAGTTAAATCATTTATTATGAAGCTGATGCGTTTGAAGCTGGCTGATGCAATATAGTTTTATGTAATGAGAAAACCTCATTTGAACAATATAGTTTTATGTAATAAGAAAGCTTCATATGCATGACTAGAAAATGCATAAATTTGGAGCCAATAGAGATAGGAGTTTGAGTCCTGGCTCTGCCACCCACTAGCGTTGTGACTTGAAGCTCATTTCTTAACATGTCTCAGCTGTGGGTCTGCTTGTCCGCACAATGTGGCGCCTACTACCTACCTCCCAGGATGTTGTGAGGATTGGGAACAACCTGTGGAAAGTGCCTGGCACAGCCCAAGTGTTCCATGAAAAGTGACTTTTTTGCTTGTTAAAATTATTAAAATTATTATAGCACTTGATATTTTTCAAAGCATTCTCACTTACGTTGTCATTTAGCATAGCACTTGAATGGAAGAGCTAGGTTAATTAACATGATGCGCCTAAATTGGCTGGGCAAATTTAGTTCTGGGACTAAGAGCCAGGCAACCTGAATGAGTCCGCGCTCTCCTCCTGGTTACACGTACTGAAGACACGTGTTACCCTGTAAAGCCATGTGTCAGCTTGGCACTGTGTGTTCAGTGCAAACACAGAGAAGACTGGGACATGGCCCTGACTTCAAGAGCTTTGTGGCGCATAGGAGGGACAGCGTGCAAGTAAACTATTTGAAAAGAGCATCTGTGTGTCTGTAAGTTACAGAAATAGTACAAAGGAGAGTGTGTTTACACCTTAGCTTCTTTTGGGGAATCATGGAAGGCTTTGCTGAGGAGGTGATATTTGAGCAGAGTTTTTAAGGGTGAATAAGAGTTTGTCTTGCAGAGTGGTGGGAAGGGTATTCCAGGTAGAGGGCACGCCATGTGCAAAGGCACGTGGGGGAAACTGCAAGTAGCCCCACATTGCTGAGATTAGAGGGAGGTGATACTGGTGCCAGTTTATGAGAGGCCTAACGGGGCCAGTCGAGGAGTTTGGACTTTTAAAGAAAGCGGGAAGTCATCGAAAGGCATGAAACTGGGACTTATTAAGTTTGCACTTTAGAAAGATCATCTCTGTGCAACCTTGAAGAATGGAT